TGATCAACTCAGGAAAAAATGGTCATTTATTAAAGAATTGATGCTGATGTGAAGTGACAAGTGAATTATTATACCACAGAGCTGTTTGCTTAGAGTGCATATGCTTGTGCATGTTACCACAAATTCTTCATGTTTCTAGAATGTTACTTGTACTGTGTGCAACAAACCACCAAACGTTAATGAGTTCAGTTCTCTCTCTAGCTCTTTAGGGTAAAATCACACATCCCCAGTGCAAACTATTCCATGGCCATATCAGAGATTGGGAAAAAGAGAACCCATAACCCTACCCATCTGAATGAATGTGGCTACATTAATCTATCCCAAGGCACTAAGCTTTAGTTTATATTTTATTTAAGAGTCTATTTTTAAATCAACAAAATGCAAAAGTAAAATTACATTCTCCAAATCCTATGGGCTTGTAGCCAACACTTAACCCCACATTTGGGAAAATCATGAAAGAAGTCTTGCCATCAACTGTTCATCTGTCTGACATTGCCTTTATGTATATCTGACTTGCTTGGCTTGCCTTTTTTAATGCTTGCCCAATTTGTTTTTCTACTTTGTGGAAGGCTGCACACACCCTCAGGGGCAGTATTCAATACTTTCTGATGAAAAGAAAGACTGTTGCTGACATAGCAAAAGCTTCAGGAAGTCACAAAAATGAGAAGGGTTTTACAAAACTTATTATCTTTACATTTTGTACAAAGGGCTCAGATATTGATGGAACAAATGTAATTGTTTTTTAATGTTAAGATTTTTTTTTTTTTACAGTCCCATGTTGTATGGTCCACTTGTAGCTATAGGTGGTAGCAAAGTAGAAAATTATAGAGCCTAGATTATTCCTTAAGGTTCACAGTGATGACCAGCAAGATTTATTTTCTGGTTTACGTTAAGCAGATAGAAACACAGATAGAAAATGTGTAGCATTGACAAGCAGGAGGTTTCTTGTCACTAAGTGTTAAAATAGTAAAACTTGAAATAAGGATTGGGAAGAAAGAACAATCTTTTTCAAAGTGAAGCTAACTAAGACCAGAAATACTCAGTATTTACCAACTTCTTTTTTACAATATCATTATCTTTCAGATTTCGAGTTTCCTTCCATTGAGCTAAAAAAGTCTAGCTAGAGTGGAAACAATAATAGCCAACATGGAACTAAGCACTTTAGCAAGAATATAGGAGATAGCACTTCAGCAAATTGTGGTCATGCAAGTTGTTTTGAGTTGTGGCAGGGAAGAAAGTGATAATGATGATGATGATAACTGACTCATTCAGAGGGCTGTAAAATAAGTTTTCTTCCACAAAACTCACAAAGTAGAGAGGCACCTGGGGGGCTCAGGTGGTTGAGCATCTGGCTCTTGGTTTCTGCTGGAGTCATGATCTCAGGGTCCTGAGATTGAGCCCTGTGCTGGGCTCCATGCTCAGTGGGGAATCTGCTGGAGGTTCTCTCTCTCCCTCTTCCTCTGCCCCTCCCCCTGCTCTTGTTCTCTCTCCCTCTCTCTAAAATAAATACATCTTTAAAAAAGAAACTCATGAGGTAGGAAAGAATACATTTTGTGATTATTCTCACATTACAATAAGTACACTATAGAGCAGATAGATTAAGTGATGTGCCCAGAGACAGTATATATATAGTATGTTATATAAGTATGATAAATGACAGGTTTTCAAATCCCTGACTTTTTAAGCATTGGGATCTACTCAAACAGCTTATCAGAAAGATCTAAAAATTAGGTGCTTCCAAATCAAGCTAAATTTGGGGTAAAGAAATAATATTAAAGCACATTAATAATCATATTTCTATCATTAAAAGGAGAAGATAACACACAAGATAATTTTCCCCCCAAAGGGATTGTGCAAGCATTTATACACAATTACTGGAATAGTAGAAAAGTCTGTAATACATTGTCTTGATAAAATTGCCACACATTTTTGTATGGTAATAGATCAGATAAACTGTAACTTGAATTCAGTAATGCCAAATATCAATTTAAGTGGATAAATATGATATATGCCCAAATATATTTTATTATTTAAATAATATGCTTAGTACTGTTTTCCTCTTTATGTAAGAGTGGTTTTTCCTAAGTTTGTTATTAGATTCTAAAATCAGAATGAATGTGTCTGTTATAGATAATTCATTACCAGTTATTTACCCTTTCATTCAAAGCACATATGGAGTTCACCCTGTGTACCAGGAATCTGTGCTAGACAATGCACTATGACTGCAATTTCTATCCAGCCTAACTAGAACAGGAAAAAAACAAAAACAAAAACCAAAAATCTTACCGAGGAAGTAAAACAAAATCACATATCGTGTTTGGAAATAACTTCCTGGTAGCTATTATCAAGAAGTTTTAGAAATATCATTAAGTGATGGTTTAGTCTGTTTTGCCCTAGATGTTACATATTGCTTTTGCTCTTTCAATGTTTCCTGAAGTTTCACTATCACATGAAATTGTGCTAGAGGGCAAAGATTAATAAGTTCATTTTCTTGCACTACTCTTTAGTGCAAAGTAAATGGAAAATAAATTACATCCATAAAGTGTTACAGTAAGACATTAGGAATGTTCACATATGTAGAAACACAAAACGGAGAAAGAAGGAAGTTGCCCTGTCTACTTAGAAGTTGATGTCTTCAGGAAATGTTTCAAAAGGGAGAGGCTGACCGATGGAGAAGGGTAAGGGTGCGGAACATTCCAGACAGAAGGTACGCAGAAAGTAGCATGTAGTGGAACATTTCTGTTTTCTGAAGTTGTTATTTTTGCCCCTTTCTTAAAATCTTACCACCATCCAAGCAGAAACAGTACACATTAAAAAACTACTAAGATCTTGACAAACAAAATGAACAGACCGGTTTCAGACTTGCGGTCCATAATAATTTTATTTAAAAGGAAGATAATGAGAAAATATCTTGGGACTTTATGCCCCAAGGGAAATGCTCTTGTACCATAACTGCAATTTGCAAAGGCTCTCTTTGTTTCCCAGGGGCAAAATAAAATATTTTATTCTGATATGTAAAGTCTTAAGAAATAAAACTCAAGTATTAAAAATATGTATGGATATCCACTAAGTCATTTAGAGATGAATTAGGAACCAAGAATGGAGAGACATGGTGAAAAAGGACTGCAGCTTTTCTTTTACTTAGTTGTGATTCTGAATTTAAGAAACCAATAGGAATCAGGGGTTCTCATGTTGAAATTGAATCTGAGCAGTGAAGCTGGACTTTGTATTAAATACTACAAAGCTCAGGGTGCCTGGTGGCTCAGCCCCTCGAGAGTCAGACTCTAGGTTTCAGCTCAGGTCATTATCTCATGGATCTTGGGATTGGATTGACTCCTGTGTCAGGCTTTGCACTCAGCGGGGAGTCTGCTTAGAGATTCTCTCTCTCTGCCCCTCCCTGCACTCTCGCCCGTGAGTGCCCTCTCTATCTTAAATAAATAAGTCAACCTTAAAACAAAAATAACAAAAGAAACAACCCTCCTCAATTTCCTCCTAAAACTTAATAAAGGCTGACCTTCCCTTTGTGTCTTTAGACTTGCCTATGGTTTACCATAGTTTGTGTCGAATTGCAATTCTTCTATTTCCAAATAAACTCTAAATAATAAATAAATAAATAAAATACTACAAAGTTCAGTTCTCTTTCATACCTTTGAATTTTCTAGAATCAAAAATATATTAATATAACTATCCAATATTCAATTAGAATACATTATTCCTTGTTTATAACCACTAGAAGTGGTAACTGAATTTCTTCCATTCACAAACTGTGTATGCTTATGATGACTATAACATTTACATAGTTTGGAATTTACAAGCATAACTGCCAATGAATTTTGGTTTTGGTTTACTCCCATCAGAAAGGTAGATTTGAGGTGGGTAACTTACAGATTACTGCTATGTCAAGAAATTTGAGAAATGAATTTTTTTCTGTATCTTTAAAACTCTTCCTGAATGAAAATGTTCAATATAATTTGTCAATAAATCACCTCCACATATTCTCTTTTATCTAAGACCTATAAATGTTCTTATATGTTTACTAATCTTAAATACATGTAAAATTTTAACTATGTAAAAATGCATACAGAAAAACAATTAAAGAACTACAATGACATTAATCTTGGTTGTTTGTGTTTCATACAAGTATGGGTGGTTATTACTTCCTTATGTTATCTATATTTCCTAATCTTCTGTAATAGACACATAACATATTTAAAACAACATATTTGTTTTAAAAAGCAACTAAAATTCTACATATAATATATTTTAAAAATTATGCAAAAAATCATGAAGCAAAAATGCTAGGAGGTATTAATTCTAAAGGCAAAAAAACGTGTTCTGAGCTGAGGAATATTTCAATTCTTTCTCTTTTTATATTTTGTAAAATTACTGCTCACATATTAATTTTATGGAAGACATAGTTTTCATTTCTAAAAAGAATCATAACTGTACTTCAGTATCTAAATGGACAACTTAGGCCATAAAATTCTACATCACAGTGCTTGACAGTTACATAATTTCAGGTTGACCAGAAGTGCTAATTCAGATATAAGAAGACAAATATCATTAACCATCCTACAGCCTGCTCTTGGTGAAATTGAAACAATCATTTCCATAGTTAAATGCTCAAATGTAAAGACTGTAAGTATCTGTGGCCTAGGGATTCTTATAGCAATAGTATAATTGACATTTTAAAAGATGTATTGTAAAGTCTCAATCCCGTTCATTCACTTTGTTATCAGAAATCTTAAAAAATTCTAATATATCACTTTTTTTTTCCAATTACCAGGTTCCTAAGGTTAGGATTAAACCTAATAATGTTAACAGTTTTATAACAACATTAGTTCATTTGTTTTACCCTCAAATGGAAACAGAATCAAAACTTTGTCTTTTCCCTGTGGCTACTGATTTCTTGAAATAGATTGTCAAGTCATTTAAAAAAATAATAATAAATTTAAATCTAGATTCATTACCAGTTCCTTAAACATAATTTTTATACCAACCTTTCAGTCTCTCTTCCTTTTCATTCTCCCATGGTAGGAATTTCTTTATTGATTAGGAAGGTGTGGCCTGAGTGCATAATGAAAATCTGTAATGAAAAACTCATTTGAGAAAGAAATTAATAATTTCAACAGTGAAATCCAATTTTCCTATGTTCATTCTTATAATCTATTTTGCGTTATTTCCCATGTGTACCCCAAACATCACTGACTCATGGCATTGTGCACATATCTATTAAAATGAAAGAATTACATAAAATATGTTTCTTCAAGGCTAACCTCCAGCTCTTTTATATTAAAATAATTATATTTCTATATTCAATAGCTAAAATATTATGAAAATTAAAGTTTTACAAATATATTCATTGTTGAGAAATTCATAGAATAATATTTTCATATGTTGTTTCAGGAATTCTATAATTTATTGAAGAAAATAGGCTATTAACTATGAAAAAACCACTAAAAAAATCTACATTTTAGGGAAATGTATTATATGATAGATACTATGCTACAGGACTTTCTACATACACTATATTAAGTCCTTCTAGGACTTCAATAACTAGATACTACGATATCTATTTTTTAATCCAGAAAAAAGGCTTTAGGGAATGTTTAACAAACTTGTCCAGGGTCGCAAAATGGTTGAGATTCAAACCAAAGATTTTATATATATATATAATATTTTTATAATATATAATATATATAGTGATAAATTAGGAGAAATTCTGCGTATAGTACTATAGATATGTTCTGTGGTTGTGATGGCATAAATATGTCCTGAAATCTCATGTTTTGCTAATTTAAAAATAAAAGAAACTAATGCTACAATAACCAAAGTGTTCAAGTCCCATTATTAAGGAGTGAAACATAAAGAGAAACTATATTGCTTTCATTGTTTACTTACACAAGTAATGCAAGAAGGTATAAGAAATAAGAAGCAGTGAATATCCCCCTCTACCATACCCCAAAGTTCCTACTAGAAATAACTAGTTCCCCCCATAATTTAATTTCCCAGGGCCTTTTCTACACACACATAGACACAGCACACACACACCCGCTTAAAATAACACAAATTCACTGAACCACATTATGTGTATTGCTTTGTGTCTTAACATATGTTGGAAGTCTTTTCATATCAGTACAAATAGAGTTCTGTATTATTTAAAATTGCTGAATCATCTAATTGCAACATTTATTTGACCCTCTCCTTATACATAGATCTGTAAGCTGTTTCCAAATATTCTCTATTATAAAATTTGCTACAGTGATACAGTGAAAATTCTTGTAATATACCATTGTGCATAATTTTTGGATATAATCTATAAATGAAATTGCTGGGTTAAAGGGTAGCTACATTTATGATACATACTGCCAACTCTCTTTAACCTTGTAATATATCCCTGTGTATTAAATGTAACACTGTTAGAACTGGTTCTGTGTTTCTTGTCAGCATTTCAAATAGATCTTCCCGCCTCCCAATAAATTTAAGCAGATCTGAGAGATTGCTGTTGACAGCTTAGTTAAATAAGCTTTCTTAGCTCTTCCAATCTGTGTGTGTATAATTCTTCCAGAGCCAGAGACATTACTAAAATGGGTCCTTTCCAATTAAAGTAACAACAATGCATTTCTGTATGGTGCCATTTACTGAGTAGAAGGTGATCTCCATAGAAAATATGCATGTTTCAATCTGCATTGAATTTGATTTCTTAAAATCATTATTAACCAGTTCTCGGTATATTATGAATAAATATGTCCATCTTCTTAAAAATAGTAACAAAACAGAGCTATCATGAACCATTATTAGGAAACCCTCAGGAAATGGAGGATTTTTAACTTTAAAACTACCCCCCACATCATAAGCAAACTGAACATATAGCATTATAAGAGGAGGTGAAGGGGCTACAAAAGGGCCCTTGGGAAGCATTTTCATAGGTATTTTTCTGACTGTTGGCTCTTCTGATAATTAAGCATTAAAAGAAGACCTCTCCTGTCTTCCATTTATCCTCAAAAACCATGGCCAGTGACTAAGTTGAAATACTCTAGCAAGAAACATTATTTAAAGATAATTAGACCTTTTTGTATTTTTCAATACTTTTATTAGATTTTTATTTTGAAAATTATGTTATTTTTTTAAAGATTTTATTTATTTTTTATTTATTTATTTATTTATTTATTTGACAGAGAGAGAGATAGCAAGAGAGGGAACACAAGCAGGGGGAGTGGGAGAGGGAGAAGCAGGCTCCCTGCTGATCAGGGAGCCCGATGCTGAGCAGGGAGCCCAGGACCCTGGGGTCAGGACCTGAGCTGAAAGCAGACGCTTAACGACTGAGCCACCCAGGAGCCCCTGAAAATTATAATTTAAAAATCACCAGTTTCTCATCTGTACTCCATTAGCTACTCTAATATTTAATTAATTACTTAAATCAAATCATATAGTATAATATCCTCTATTTCTTGTTGAGAATTTTTGGATGTTTTTCCATGAAATTCATATGGTGAAAAACATTACTTGAGAATATAGGTCTTTACAGACTACACATTTCAACTGTTTTCTATCCAGTTAAGAATGCTGGCTCAGTAATAAAATATTCTGGTTAATGGGAAATTATCCATTTCAACAATTAGTCAAAAACTTGGAATTTATGTGAATACATGTAACACTGAAACTATGTTAAACGTAGCAATGTTTTATAATTTGTAAAACAGTTTAGAACCTTTCCGTGCCCCATGGCCATCCATAATAGTTTTACTATAATTTTCCAGAGATTTGACTAATGTTAAAATTCACTTCACTTTGATAAGTTCATCTTTGAAATAACAGTTTTAGACTTTAATGTGCTTATTCATTTTTTCCTAGAAAAATATTGCATATGTACAATAATAACTCATCAATATAATATATATATAGTTAGTAATGGTTTATAATCTGTATAATATTTGATTTTATACATTCTCCAATGACCTAAGATATTTAAATTGTCCAGCCTTTAAAAGCAAGTGTATCTAGTTCAGAACCTTCAAACGCATGCTGTTATAACTGTTCCATCAAGTGTTCTCTCTAAAGAATATCTTACATCCTTCAGATCCCTCTGTCACACTCCTCTGCAGTCTTTCCTTAAAACAAATCTGACCATGTCATTCTCAAGCATGAGACATTCCATAATTCCATTTGCTGATGGTACAAAGTTCAAATTCTTGTGCATGTCATTAACATCTGTCACTTTCTTTGCCTTACTAGTTGACAGTATGCCACCCCAACACTGTGTTCTATGCCTGCTCAAAGACTCCACACTCCCCACTGCAGTAGCTCAAATATTGCTCCTTCTCTGAAACATTGGCTGATTTTTCCTCTTCTATGTAGAAGTGATCAGTACTTTATTTAGGTCCCTTTGTGTAATTCATCCATCCTATCAGCTTTAATCCTCTAGTGTGATTATTTCTTTACACAGTTTTTCCCCTAAAAACTATGGGCTCATTGAAGGCAAAGTATTTACTTTACTTAGGAAAATGTATACCTCAGAGATGTTCCCAGACATTTCTGAGAGGATTTTTAATTGATAAATCTGCCATTTGAGAATACCGGAAAAAGCATCTCTTGAATTAAAATTTATGAAACATTTAGTGGAGCTTCAAAGAAAATGTTTCTAATTATAAGACGCTATTTTACTAATGTGTTTGCTATGTTGTATGCAAAAGTGTGGGTGGGAGTTTGATCATGAGGGGAGATTCTGGGAGTTGGGAGTAGGATGATTGCATTAAAACAAAAGGCTCTGGTGAAGGAAATAAGAAGGAAAGAGCCATGTTATGGCCATAAATAGCTAAGAAATGACCTAAGATTTCTCATCGCACACTGTCATTTATCTATATTTTCACTCTGCATGTAATTACTGCAATCTTTTACTATTGTAATTTTGATCACTCAAACTGGAGTACCAAGCACTACGTTTTCAATTTTGTAATTATTGTCTGCAGCATTTAACATAGTCAGAGTCATATGATTAGCACTTTAAAAGACTGAACTAATTAAAGACAAGAAGTAGTGAAATACCTGATGTTTTTTAATGGACAAGGGTACAAACATTAAAAGCTGATAGTCTCTAAACTTATATATAACCAGCATAATGAGCTTTTAGTAAGTGCTGGCTCAGTGTTAAGAATTTTATGTGCTATAATTCATCTGATCGTCACAGAAAACTTGTGAGATAGGCACTATTAATATCTTTGTCATTTTACACGTGTGGAAACAAGTTCATTTCTTAAAGATATGCAGTCTGGAAGTGATGCAGGTAGGGAACTCAGAGGCAGCTGAATTCAGAACCCAGGATCTTAACCACAACACATTCTTCCTTCTATGAATTTTGGATGAAAGAAGTTTCCTGGTTATTTCAGCATAGAATGGCATATCACAGAAGTTTTATTATGTACATTTTTGAGATTGGAGATTAATCTGTAAAAGGAAAAATGAGTTAAAATGAAAAAAGTAGGCTTAATAAGTTAGTCCTTAAATCCAGAGACAAGGGGAAATCACTGAGTGGAATCTTGATGATGGGGTAGTAATGGGGCAACCATTTTACTTGAGGCTATGCCTTTAGAAACCAAAGAGCAGGAATGGGAAAATAAGGGAAATAAGGTCTATTAGTTATTGAAGATTATCTCTATTTTTATTGGAATAGCTAGACATTTCAATAGGATGCTCATCAGTACACAGGGAGATAAATCAATTGGATAAAAGTCAAAATTCCAGTGCAAATTAGATTTTTTTCATTTTTCAAGAATTTTAAAGACATTGTAAAACTGGTTCTAATAATCCAAAGCTTCAGTATATTATTTTGTTCTATATCAATAGATATTTTTTGTGAAATGGTGTCTACTGTATGGTATAATTACTTTAAAATCACTTTTTTTTCTGATTTAATTTGAAAATGTTCATTGTTATACCTAAAAAGGTGTCTAAAAGTAAGATCTCTTTACATGATATACTCACTTATTTTCATTACAGTCAAATTTTAGTACCAGAATTACATTTCCAGAGGAAATCTTTGCAATTGGTTGAGTATTTTTATTCAGATAAGATGATGTGATGAATTACAAT